TTTATTAGGAAGTACCTTAGTGGAAAAGAGATGAGAATCCTTGATAAATATAGATCCTTATATACTTCAACAAGAACTTTTATTGATTCAATGTAAGTTATATATTTGATATTCTGTAAGGAATAGCTAACTTACTAGGTTATATAGGTATCACAATGAAAAGTCCAGAAATCTTACTAAATAAAATTTCAAGTTTTTCTTTTTTTTTATTCACATTATCACCTATGTGCTTAATTCCCTTCTTACTTCCTTGGGTATAAAAACACTCATCATTTCTGGTGTTAAACCAAATTTATGCTGTGAGACAACTGCCAGAAGTGAGTACAAAAGTAACTTTTAAAAAAATGAAAATGATGCTAATAATATATTTTATAGGTGCATTCGATAAGAATTATGATATTGTTTTTCTTGAGGATGCGACTGCTACGGATACTGAAGAGATGCATAAGGTATGAAAGTTTTTTTTACGAAGAAAATCTGCTTAAAATGCATTTAATAATACTAATTTTTTTTGCCTGAAAGGCAACTTTATTGAACATCGAATATGGTTGGGGAATAGTTACCACTGTTAAAAATACTATTAAATGGCTTTCTACAATAAAGTCTTGATTTAAAAATGTTTAAAACTAAAATGTACAGTGATTATTATATGTTTTTATTTGAACAAATAAATTAATATAATTCTTTTTATGTAAGCACGCATTAAAGATGATTAATAAAAATTTTCATTTTTATAGAAACTATGGCATTTAGGCTTTCTATGATGCTTCATTGATATTTCTTGTGGACATATGCTAACTTGTTCTTAAATAGTGAAAATTAAGATATACTTTTTAAAAAGTAACTTGTTAATGTAGAAATAATTTTAAATTGATTCTGCACAAAAAAAGCATCACTATGATTTGGTAATAATAACGATAATAGTAATAATAGATTAATGGAAATTAATTTGTTAAATCAAAATTTAAAAATTCAATTTCTTAGACTTTATACTCATTCTTGAAACCAAGCATAAATCTGTCCTACGTATACAAAAGTAACTGGACTTTCTGTGTTGTCTCAAAATAATGCCCGGGGTGTGGATTAAAATTTTGGCCTGAATTAAGCTTAATTTGGTCTAAATTCAGGCCAAAATTTTAATCTACACCCCAGAAGTTATTTTGAGGCATTATGTCTAGATCTTTGATTGCATGAATTCATATAATTCATAAAATATTATGATTAGAATCAATTTTGTAGAAGGTTTTTTCATGACTTCTTTGTTAATACGATATTCTGTCCTAGCTATTAAAACATAAAATTATGAATATAACAACAAAAATAAAAAATAAAAAATATAAGTATAAAAAAAAACATTAAAGCTTAAACATATTGGATTAGTTTTAATTTCAAATACAATCTAAAAAAAAAATTTAAAATGGTTTGGTTCAAGATTTAAATATTAGATGGTACAATTGATTTTAATAGTGAATGGGTTAGTGATTTTATCAGTGGATGGTTTGGTGCTCTTAACAGTGAGTGGTTCATAATTTAATTTAATAATAGATAGTTTGCGATTTTAGTGAAATGAGTTAATAATTTCAATAGTTTGTGGGATTGTAAATTAAAAATAGGAGTTATTGATTTCAAGAATGAGGGGTTCATAATATTAATAGTGTGTGGGTTTATGTTTTGATGAGTTATTTAATATAGCTGATGTACTATAATTTTAAATTCACGATTATATGAGTTCTTGTCATATAAACGTAATACCTCTTATTTCACTTTAATTAGCTATAAGTCTGAAAGCTATTAACAAATTTACTTAAAATATGCTATCAATATTTAGAATGAATAAAAAGGTGGCGCGAACTGCCACCTAATATACTAGTTATAATGAAAATTGAACAAATCAATTATTCTGATTTTCATACATCATGAAAGAACAAATTTTGCTTTTCCTCTAATGTGAATGTTAATATTATCCTCCTTATTTTGATTAACTTCAACAAGATCTTGATTTACGCGTCCTAAGTAAAACAACTGCTAAATATTATATATATTATCAAAAATGTATAAATTAAATAATTTACCTAACGAATGTAATTCTCAATTTTAATGTTGATGTTAAAGTAATATATAATATACTTGTATTTAATCATGTTAAGTTCACCGATGAGGCTAAGAATGAGTGACGAATGTAATCTCAAATTTGGAAAGTCACTTTCTCTTTAAAAAGAATAAGGATGATTACTCTTTTCATGAATATATAGTTTATTATATATATCATAGAAATTTTGGCACAAATTATTCAACTATTGAGAAAACTACTTTTATAGCTACTTACAACAATCTTAAGCAAATATATTTAAAGAGAAGTATTAAAGAAAAATTATCCTATGTAAATTTTTAGAAATAAAAAATTGTCTGAGCTTTTAAGGGTAGAGTACAATAATTGCAAATTATATATAAAGCTAATGGTAAAAATGATTTCAAGAAGGCAAACATTTATTTTCAAAGCTTTAGGAGACAAAGGGCTTTTTAATATATTATCCTACAAATGGGGTCTTTGCCTTAAAAATCGTGTTATAGGACATATAATTTACTATGTCCCATAACGTGATTTTCAAGGCAAAAACCTTAAATGTTTTGAAATAATGAAAATTAACTTTTGAAGAATAATATAGATTAATTCAAACAAAAAACATTATAATCAATATTACAGATTAATTCAAAAAAAATCTCATTATAATCAATATTACAGATTAATTCAAAAAAAAATCATTATAGTCAATATTACAAATTAACCCAAAAGAAAAATCCTATTATAATCAATATTTCAAAAGAAAAATTCCTTTTATTTTCATAATTTGCCTCCTCCACCACATCAGTATTACGTATTTAAAACTAATACAACTATTAATTTGGATGTACCTTAAACCCTTTTTTTAAACGAAAATAATTTTAGAAAGATGAGAACTGAATTAGCAGAAAAATCCTAGATCTTTTTATGTGGTTCAGATCTAACTACATAATGAAATTTAAATATTCATAAGAACTTGCATAAAAATTTTATATTTTAAATAGTAACGAAGGTGTTCCCCATCAACAAATTTTTGGTTTTAATTAGTTAATTAATAAATGCAATTCGTAGTTAATATAATCAATACTGGAATTCTTTATATCAATCTTGGAAGAGGCTCCTTAAACTCAGTTCATTCTCTGACAGCATCAAGATGCCGTTGGAGAATAGAATGTTTAAATCCCTTCATGTGAACACTGCCTTAATTTCTTTAATTTTTATTGGTAATCAATTTGAATTTGAAGAGTTTGAAATAAATAATTTATTAAAAAAAAAGGTTGTAAGGTGCTGGATTAGATCCTGATGATGAATGGAAAACCATTAGTTGTTGTATGAAGTTTTTAATTTCGTATTTCTGATATTCAAAAAAATACGCAAAAGTTAATTATTAATTTTTCTTTGTTTCTCTATGGAAATTTTCGCAGAAATTTTGGTTAAATTTTTTCTGATGTAATTCATAAATATGTATGAGCATTGTCAAATTTATGTATGTAAGACCTCTCTAGATACACTCCCTTAGAACTATAGTAAAAAAAAGCAAAACGTGCACTTATAAAATTAAAGATCATCTTTGCTTTCACACATTTTATAACTTGTTCATGTGATATTAGAAACTTAAATCAAAAAATAATGACTTTTACTAGTCGCTTCATTTTAAAAATCAAAAAATTTAATATACTAACTTTGTGTGATCATTGCTTACAAAGAAAGTTTTATATTCTTATGTATTAATGTCCTTTATGCTTTAAAACCTTTTAATGTAGCTTAGAAATTGCTTTATCTATCAGTTAGTTTTCTTTCTGTAACCCAGATATATTTAATAATTTAATAATTCCATTACAATATATGGGATCTTTGCTAAGATTTTTTCTAAAAATTAATTTATGTTTTTCTTAATAAAAATCATGTATAACAATGACTCGTAGGGTTATTTTGCTAGCAAAGATCCCATATGTAGAAATTTCACTTTCTAGGTAAGATACCTCTAGGTATGGGATTATTTGGGATTATAATATTGAACAAACAAATGGTTTTATTAAGAGATTTTGATAGAATAAACGAAGACAATGTGACCATCGTTTACAAAGGTAC